GGTTCCCCATCAGTTTCCCCTCCCCATCAGGTTCCCCATCAGGTTCCCCATCAGGTTCCCCATGAGGTTCCCCATCAGGTTCCCCATCAGGTACCCCATCAGGTTCCCCATCAGGTTCCCCATCAGGTTCCCCATCAGGTTCCCCATGAGGTTCCCCATCAGGTTTCCCCATCAGGTTTCCCATCAGGTTCCCCATCAGGTTCTCCATCAGGTTCCCCACCCCATCAGGTTCCCCATCAGGTTCCCCATCAGGTTCCCCACCCCATCAGGTTCCCCATCAGGTTTCCCACCCCATCAGGTTCCCTATCAGGTTCCCCATCAGGTTTCCCATCAGGTTCCCCATCAGGTTCCCCATCAGGTTCCCCATCAGGTTCCCCATCAGGTTCCCCATCAGGTTCCCCATCAGGTTCCCCATCAGGTTCCCCATCAGGTTCCCCACCCCATCAGGTTCCCCATCAGGTTCCCCATCAGGTTCCCCATCAGGTTCCCCACCCCATCAGATTCCCCATCAGGTTCCCCATCAGGTTCCCCATCAGGTTTCTATCAGGTTCCCCATCAGGTTCCCCATCAGGTTCCTCATCAGGTTCCCCATCAGGTTCCCCATCAGGTTCCCCACCCCATCAGGTTCCCCATCAGGTTCCCCATCAGGTTCCCCATCAGGTTCCCCATCAGGCTCCCCATCAGGTTCCTCATCAGGTTGCCCATCAGGTTCCCCATCAGGTTCCCCATCAGGTTCCCCATCAGGTTCCCCATCAGGTTCCCCATCAGGTTCCCCACCCCATCAGGTTCCCCATTAGGTTCCCCATCAGGTTCCCCATCAGGTTCCCCATCAGGTTCCCCACCCCATCAGGTTCCTCATCAGGTTCCCCATCAGGTTCCCCATCAGGTTCCCCATCAGGTTCTCCACCCCATCAGGTTCCCCATCAGGTTCACCATCAGGTTCCCCATCAGGTTCCCCATCAGTTTCCCCTCCCCATCAGGTTCCCCATCAGGTTCCCCATCAGGTTCCCCATGAGGTTCCCCATCAGGTTCCCCATCAGGTACCCCATCAGGTTCCCCATCAGGTTCCCCATCAGGTTCCCCATCAGGTTCCCCATGAGGTTCCCCATCAGGTTTCCCCATCAGGTTTCCCATCAGGTTCCCCATCAGGTTCTCCATCAGGTTCCCCACCCCATCAGGTTCCCCATCAGGTTCCCCATCAGGTTCCCCACCCCATCAGGTTCCCCATCAGGTTCCCCATCAGGTTCCCCATCAGGTTCCCCACCCCATCAGGTTCCCCATCAGGTTCCCCATCAGGTTCCCCATCAGGTTCCCCATCAGGTTCACCATCAGGTTCCCCATCAGGTTCCCCATCAGGTTCCCCATCAGGTTCCCCATCAGGTTCCCCATCAGGTTCCCCATCAGGTTCCCCACCCCATCAGGTTCCCCACCCCATCAGGTTCCCCACCCCATCAGGTTCCCCATCAGGTTCCCCATCAGGTTCCCCATCAGGTTCCCCATCAGGTTCCCCATCAGGTTCCCCATCAGGTTCCCCATCAGGTTCCCCATCAGGTTCCCCATCAGGTTCCCCATCAGGTTCCCCATCAGGTTCCCCACCCCATCAGGTTTCCCATCAGGTTCCCCATCAGGTTCCCCATCAGGTTCCCCATCAGGTTCCCCACCCCATCAGGTTCCCCATCAGGTTCCCCATCAGGTTCCCCATCAGACCCTAAACACCACTGCCCTCTATAATGGGGCGGGTCAGCCTGGCCCGACCCGATCCGACCCGACCCGACCCGACCCGACCCGACCCGACCCGACCCGACCCGACCCGACCCGACCCGACCCGACCCGTGACTGGGTCCAAGTTGACCCGAGAGTGTAAGCCCGGGTCGGGCCAGAAGTTTCAGGAACCTGGCCCGAGCCTGACCCGACCTGACCGGGAGCCCGTGTGGCCCGGCCAGTTCAGGTCGGATCGGGTCGGGTCGGGCCGGGCCATTTGCTCATCTCTAGCTCCAATGTGCCTGCCTGTCTCCTCTGTGTGACTGCCTTCGTGCCTCTGTGTGTGAGCAGCTGTTATCAGGCGGAGAACAGGTCGTGGATGTGGACGATCTCAGGGCACACACGTGATACTCTCTAGGCCTTGAGTCCAATGTTCCCGCCTGTCTCCGCTGTGTGACTGCCTTCGTGCCTCTGTGTGTGAGCAGCTGTTATCAGGCGGAGAATAGGTCGTGGATGTGGACGATCTCAGGGCACACACGTGATACTCTCTAGGCCTTGAGTCCAATGTTCCCGCCTGTCTCCGCTGTGTGACTGCCTTCGTGCCTCTGTGTGTGAGCAGCTGTTATCAGGCGGAGAACAGGTCGTGGATGTGGACGATCTCAGGGCACACACGTGATACCCTCTAGGCCTTGAGTCCAATGTTCCCGCCTGTCTCCGCTGTGTGACTGCCTTCGTGCCTCTGTGTGTGAGCAGCTGTTATCAGGCGGAGAACAGGTCGTGGATGTGGACGATCTCAGGGCACACACGTGATACTCTCTAGGCCTTGAGTCCAATGTTCCCGCCTGTCTCCGCTGTGTGACTGCCTTCGTGCCTCTGTGTGCGAGCAGCTGTTATCAGGCGGAGAACAGGTCGTGGATGTGGACGATCTCAGGGCACACACGTGATACTCTCTAGGCCTTGAGTCCAATGTTCCCGCCTGTCTCCGCTGTGTGACTGCCTTCGTGCCTCTGTGTGTGAGCAGCTGTTATCAGGCGGAGAACAGGTCGTGGATGTGGACGATCTCAGGGCACACACGTGATACTCTCTAGGCCTTGAGTCCAATGTTCCCGCCTGTCTCCGCTGTGTGACTGCCTTCGTGCCTCTGTGTGTGAGCAGCTGTTATCAGGCGGAGAACAGGTCGTGGATGTGGACGATCTCAGGGCACACACGTGATACTCTCTAGGCCTTGAGTCCAATGTTCCCGCCTGTCTCCGCTGTGTGACTGCCTTCGTGCCTCTGTGTGTGAGCAGCTGTTGTCAGGCGGAGAACAGGTCGTGGATGTGGACGATCTCAGGGCACACACGTGATACTCTCTAGGCCTTGAGTCCAATGTTCCCGCCTGTCTCCGCTGTGTGACTGCCTTCGTGCCTCTGTGTGTGAGCAGCTGTTATGAGGCGGAGAACAGGTCGTGGATGTGGACGATCTCAGGGCACACACGTGATACTCTCTAGGCCTTGAGTCCAATGTTCCCGCCTGTCTCCGCTGTGTGACTGCCTTCGTGCCTCTGTGTGTGAGCAGCTGTTATGAGGCGGAGAACAGGTCGTGGATGTGGACGATCTCAGGGCACACACGTGATACTCTCTAGGCCTTGAGTCCAATGTTCCCGCCTGTCTCCGCTGTGTGACTGCCTTCGTGCCTCTGTGTGTGAGCAGCTGTTATCAGGCGGAGAACAGGTCGTGGATGTGGACGATCTCAGGGCACACACGTGATACTCTCTAGGCCTTGAGTCCAATGTTCCCGCCTGTCTCCGCTGTGTGACTGCCTTCGTGCCTCTGTGTGTGAGCAGCTGTTATCAGGCGGAGAACAGGTCGTGGATGTGGACGATCTCAGGGCACACACGTGATACTCTCTAGGCCTTGAGTCCAATGTTCCCGCCTGTCTCCGCTGTGTGACTGCCTTCGTGCCTCTGTGTGTGAGCAGCTGTTATCAGGCGGAGAACAGGTCGTGGATGTGGACGATCTCAGGGCACACACGTGATACTCTCTAGGCCTTGAGTCCAATGTTCCCGCCTGTCTCCGCTGTGTGACTGCCTTCGTGCCTCTGTGTGTGAGCAGCTGTTATCAGGCGGAGAACAGGTCGTGGATGTGGACGATCTCAGGGCACACACGTGATACTCTCTAGGCCTTGAGTCCAATGTTCCCGCCTGTCTCCGCTGTGTGACTGCCTTCGTGCCTCTGTGTGTGAGCAGCTGTTATCAGGCGGAGAACAGGTCGTGGATGTGGACGATCTCAGGGCACACACGTGATACCCTCTAGGCCTTGAGTCCAATGTTCCCGCCTGTCTCCGCTGTGTGACTGCCTTCGTGCCTCTGTGTGTGAGCAGCTGTTATCAGGCGGAGAACAGGTCGTGGATGTGGACGATCTCAGGGCACACACGTGATACTCTCTAGGCCTTGAGTCCAATGTTCCCGCCTGTCTCCGCTGTGTGACTGCCTTCGTGCCTCTGTGTGTGAGCAGCTGTTATCAGGCGGAGAACAGGTCGTGGATGTGGACGATCTCAGGGCACACACGTGATACTCTCTAGGCCTTGAGTCCAATTTTCCCGCCTGTCTCCGCTGTGTGACTGCCTTCGTGCCTCTGTGTGTGAGCAGCTGTTATGAGGCGGAGAACAGGTCGTGGATGTGGACGATCTCAGGGCACACACGTGATACTCTCTAGGCCTTGAGTCCAATGTTCCCGCCTGTCTCCGCTGTGTGACTGCCTTCGTGCCTCTGTGTGTGAGCAGCTGTTATCAGGCGGAGAACAGGTCGTGGATGTGGACGATCTCAGGGCACACACGTGATACTCTCTAGGCCTTGAGTTCAATGTTCCCGCCTGTCTCCGCTGTGTGACTGCCTTCGTGCCTCTGTGTGTGAGCAGCTGTTATCAGGCGGAGAACAGGTCGTGGATGTGGACGATCTCAGGGCACACTCGCGATACTCTCTAGGTCTCGAGTCCAATGTGCTCGCCTGTCTCCTCTGTGTGACTGCCTTCGTGCCTCTGTGTATGAGCAGCTGTTATCAGGCGGAGAACAGGTCGTGGATGTGGACGATCTCAGGGCACACACGCGATACTCTCTAGGCCTTGAGTCCAATGTGCCCGCCTGTCTCCTCTGTGTTCTTCTGTGACACTGTCTCCTCTGTGTGCCTTTGTCTCTCGCTGTGAGCAGCTGCTGTCGGGCGGAGAGCAGGATGTGGATGTGGACGATCTCCAGGCACTACTCTAAGGGCCTCCAATCCCAACACATGCAAATTACTCTCTCGATACTCTCTTTGTGAGCAGCTGCTGTCAGGCGGAGAGCAGGACGTGGATGTGGAGGATCTCAAGGCACACACGAGATACTCAGGGGGATACACGGAGAGCGACCGCACCATCCGCATGTTCTGGGAGGTGCGTGGCATTGGGTGTTCTGGTAGGTGGTGTTCAATTTCAATCAGGGCACGCACGAGAGATACCCGGGGGGATACACGGAGAGCGACCGCACCATCAAGATTTTCTGGGAGGTGCGTACGCGCGTGTTGCGCTGAGTTGAGGTAGGTGAGTGGGGGGGAGCAAGAGTGGGTGTGGATGTGGAGGACCTCAAGGCACACACACGGTATTCGGGGCGGGGGGATACACGGAGAGCGACCGCACCATCCGCATGTTCTGGGAGGTGAGTGTTTTGCTCATGCGTTGGCGTTGCATGGGGTGTTCACTTTCAATCAAGGCACACACGAGAGATACCCGGGGGGATACACGGAGGGCGACCGCACCATCCGCATGTTCTGGGAGGTGTCATTGTCAGCCCTAGCTGTGTGTTGTTTGTTGTGCGGCCTGCGAATATTATTCAGACGATTGTGGCCCTGTCATCCCTGCATGCCACCATCACATCAGGTGGTGAAGGAGCCATCGAGGGAGGAAAAGAGGCAGCAGAGATTTTTTACCAAATTCTTGAGAATCCCCTTTCCCTCTGCGTGCCTGCCTGGCCTCCCTTCGTGTGTCACCATTACATCAGGTGGTGAAGGAGCTGTCAAGAGAGGAGAAGAGCCAGCTGCTCAAATTCGTCACCAGCCGCGCCCATGGATATGGAAGAGAGCCACATAAGAGGCTCATAAGAGAGCCACAGCAAGAGATCCGTTATTGAAAGTGGTGCCACACTCTGTCCCTTTCTCCTTGCACCTGGCTCCCCTGTGTGGCACTGGTACTGTCAGGTGGTGAAAGAGCTATCAAGGGAGGAGAAGAGCCAACTGCTCAAATTCGTGACCAGCCTCTTAGCTGAGAGGCTCCTTCTCTCCTCTCTCCCGCCTGTTGCCCCTCTCCTCCTGCGTGCCACCATCACATCAGGTCGTGAAGGAGCTATCAAGAGAGGAGAAGAGCCAACTGCTCAAATTCGTGACTAGCTGCTCACGACCCCCCTTGCTGGGGTTCAAGCACCTCAATCCGCCGCTCACCATCCACAAGGTGTGATTGATGCTAGTGCCTTGCTATGATGAGAGATCTCTCAGGCGTATCAAAGGTCAAGTCGTCACCAGCTGCTCACGACCTCCTCTTCCGGGGTTCAAGCACCTCAACCCGCCCCTCACCATCCACAAGGTGTGACTATGCCAAGGTGTGAATGTATCGAAAGGTAATTTGTAGGACGGATGTGATTGCAGTGAAAAGCGGTTCCTGCTGGGAAAACATTCTGATTAGCTGCTCGAATAATTCGCTTTTTGATGTGGCTCAATATTTTATCTTTTGGTAGGGTTCCGTCTTTTAGAATCCTCCGTAGCATCTCAACCTGCCAATGTGACATCCATGTGACATGCGTCCATGTGGGCTACAGTAGGAGGGCAGCAATGGCTTGTTGCCCCATGACTCATATTGCATGCAATTCATACCCCATATAACTCGCCTCTCTATTAAATGAATGTGGACACATTCATGTGGGCTACACTAGGAGCGCCTGATGTGGATCGGCTTCCCACTGCTAGCACTTGCCCTCTTTTCTGCTTCATGCTGCGTGTGTCTCATACCCCATATAACCCGCCTCTCTATCAGGTGAATGTGGATGCGTCCATGTGGGCTACACTAGGAGGGCCCGATGTGGACTGGCTTCCTACTGCTAGCACTTGCCCTCTCCTCTGCTTCATGCTGCATGTGTTTCATACCCCTTATAACCTGCCTCACTATCAGGTGAATGTGGACGCATCCATGTGGGCTACACTAGGAGGGCCCGATGTGGACTGGCTTCCCACCGCTTCCACCTGCTACAACCTGCTCAAGGTAATCATTGCTCCTGTTGTGCTACAACCTGCTCAAGGTAATCATTGCTCCTGTTGTGCTACAACCTGCTCAAGGTAATCATTGCTCCTGTTGTGCTACAACCTGCTCAAGGTAATCATTGCTCCTGTTGTGCTACAACCTGCTCAAGGTAATCATTGCTCCTGTTGTGCTGCAACCTGCTCAAGGTAATCATTGCTCCTGTTGTGCTACAACCTGCTCAAGGTAATCATTGCTCCTGTTGTGCTACAACCTGCTCAAGGTAATCATTGCTCCTGTTGTGCTACAACCTGCTCAAGGTAATCATTGCTCCTGTTGTGCTACAACCTGCTCAAGGTAATCATTGCTCCTGTTGTGCTACAACCTGCTCAAGGTAATCATTGCTCCTGTTGTGTTACAACCTGCTCAAGGTAATCATTGCTCCTGTTGTGCTACAACCTTCGAAACGGCTGACATTCCAACAATCGTATATCACAGCGGACATTGTCAAGTGATTTCTTGAATTTATTACTCCTTGCACCCCGTGCCACAGCTGCCCACGTACCAACGAGCCAGCACACTGCGGGATAAGCTCAAGTATGCCATCTCCTCTGGAACCGGCTTTGAGCTCTCGTGAGACATGGGCCTCCCTGAGTCCTCAGGCCGCGCACTGCTAGTTCAGTGTCAGCTGACCTACGTGCAAGTGAGCCACGCTGCGGCATAAACTCAAGTATGCCATTTCCTCTGGAACCGGCTTTGAGCTCTCCTGAGTTATGGGCCCCGAGCGCTGGGTCGTCGGGCTTTGCGCTGTTTCGTTCTGTGTGGAGTGCATGAACACACCAGCGAGCCAGCACGCTGGGGGATGAAGTAAAGTACGCCAGTTCCTCCAGAACCAGTTTAAAAATCTCCTTAGCCTATGTCGGCTTATGCTGGCAGGTCTGGGTTGCCACTGCTGCTGCTGCAGCTGCTGCTGCTGCTGCGCTGTTTATGTGGTATGAAGGGTGCCATGCCATACCTAGTGGAGCGAGGTTGAGAGTCACAAATCGAGCCGATCTTAGCAACCTATGAATGTGTTTTTACAGTGGCGCTTGAGAAGTAGCAAATGTTGCGAACTCAGCTGTGTTATGCAAGTCTTTAGTAAACCACCACCTGTGTGTCAAATGTACGGTTAGCACTTAGGGTACATTCCGCTGTGGACACATGTCCCAATCGATGTGTCCCAATCGAGTGTACCGCTCCGAACCGAACTAAACCAGAGACGCGAAAATTTCGAAACTAGGGTGCAATTTGGTGTAATACGATGCAGTGCGGTAGAAACGATTGGGACACATCGTTTGGGACATGTGTCCACAGCGGAATGTACCCTTATCTTCCCTGTCCCTGGGGCCTTCCAGGGGGTCGTGTATCTGGGGAGATCAAGAGAGCTCTCTCCGTGTTGAAAGGAACATGAAAAAGAAAGGGATCCTGAAAGGGATAGTTAATTATTTCGGACCAGAACCTTACATTGGTCTACACTATCCTGAAAAATAGGACTTCTCAGGGGAATCTGAGGTCCTGTTCCAAACCATCAAATCAACCAAGTGTTTCTAGCCCCTCAAAGGTCCTTTAGGGTAGAATTATGTACATCCATAAACTGTACCAAGCCCATGATCAATCGCGATACCGTTCACCTCACACTTGACACGATCGAGGCGATGGAGAAAACCATCCCCAAGGCGTTTTTCCCAGCCAATCGCGTGTGAGCAAGGTATTTCCTCTCAGCAACTAGCAATCGCCTGCTCTCACTCACATAGGCACAGGCAGGCTGTTATGGGGGAGTGTCCATTGCTGTTTGAGATCTGCTTGTCTTCTCTTTCAGTCGTTTGCCGCCAACCTCCCAGCATGAAATTGCCAGCTTCTCCTGACTTGTACTGAGCGTTTGTCGCCGGAAAGGCTCAGAAGCTGTAGGAGACACCAATAGGTTCATATTGCATTCCGCCACAGAAGCTCGCAGGCAGCCGAACTTGCGTGTCCAGATGCCAACGTGGGTGCATTATACGCGCTCCTTTGAGGTCCGTCGGAGCTGCATTGCCTTCTCGCAATCGCCGGTCAGCGGCATCCCGGAGAACTTGCCGAACCCCGACCTGCACGTTACGTATGCAAATCACATCGACTTTATCAAAAAGTTTTGGACTTCCTGGCGATGATGATGAAGTCACGGCCTGCGAAACCCCAACCCATTTCCGGAGGCAGCGTGCGGATTTCCGTACTCGTGTTATTCGCCACGTGCATCGCCGTTGCGCTCTGCTTTGAAATTTTCGCGTCAGACTTTCGCGCGACCCTGCCGGCGCCTATTCCTCTGGGAGTGTCGGAGTTAGGTTCTAAAGGCGTCGAGGATACGAGGAGAGTGGGCGGGGCGGTAGCAATTGAGATGGAAAAGAAGGGAGGGGGAGGGATTGCTGGAGATGAAGTTGCAACTGCCGATCTTTCTCAGCCGTTGATCCCAGGGACCAGGCTTTCCACTATAGCCGAGGTTAGTAGTTTTGAGAGCAGATTTGAATGCTTGACGTCTAAAGGTCAGTGGGTATATGACCCTAAGCCAAGATACCTGCCCTGGAAGGAAGTAAAAAAGACTGGGTATTCTTCCTGTGACTACAGGTGGATTACAGAGGCCCAGAAAAACATTTCCGGGCAGAATGGTACGTCTGGGGCAGCTGCATTTCCGAACATCGCGTATGATACTGCGGATGGTGTGGTTAGGAGGAGGGGGGGCAAAGCGGTGTGGCAGGTTCGGCCGAGCGTAAAGTACCGGTGGCTGTTGCCGAAGCAGAAAGGGGGTGTCAGTTCAGGAGAGGGGGGAGGAGGAGGAGTAATGGAAGAGTGCGGGGGAAGTGAGTGGTGGGGGGATGTGGACTGTGCGCGGTTGAAAACAGGGCTTGATCCAAACGGACGGAAGATCCTGATAGTGGGAGATTCAATAAACTTACAAGTATTTATGGCCTTCAGGAATCTTATGAATATGTGCCAGAAGAAGTGTAGCTTTGAGGTGTGGAAGAAATGGAATGAGGAAAGGCAGCAGCAGAGCCAGCAGGGGCATCAGGGGCAGGAGAGGCAGCAGGGGGACCAGCAGGGGCATCAGGGGCAGGAGAGGCAGCAGGGGGACCAGCAGGGGCATCAGGGGCAGGAGAGGCAGCAGGGGGACCAGCAGGGGCATCAGGGGCAGGAGAGGCAGCAGGGGGACCAGCAGGGGCATCAGGGGCAGGAGAGGCAGCAGGGGGACCGGCGGGGACGTCAGGGGTTACAACAGAAGCAGCCACGGCGGCAACAGCTACAAGGGCCGGATAGGCAACAGCAGAAACAGGAAGGGGAGAAGGAGGGAAAACGGGAGAGGAAACTGGAGGGGAAATGGGAAGGAAAACAGGAGGAGCATCAGCAACAGCAGGAGAATGAGCAGCAGGAGCAACAGGCGAGGCTGCATCACCAGCAGCAGCGGCAACAGCTTAAAGAGAAAATAAAGCAGGAGTGTCCTGAAGTGGAGAAGATTCGACAGGAATCCTGTGCGGAGAGATACGGGAACACCACAATAGTGTACATACGGAATGACCTCCTAAACACGTCAGATGGCTACCTGGTTCAGATCTCTTGCTGCATCAACACCCCATGGATGAGGACGCTCAAGCAGGATCGCAACATCGCAGTGCTTCTACTGAATCGTGGAGCGCACTTTGAAGAGAATGGAGTTTTCATTCCTGAGCTCAATGCTACACTCCACGAAGTTAGAGACGCGGCACCGAACACGCTTGTGGTATACCGGAGCACGCCGGCTGGCCATCCCAACTGCACTAAAGCATTTACAGATCCTAACGAAGAGCCTCCAGACTCAAGCTCCTATCCGTACCACTGGGGCGACTTTCACGAGCAAAACATGATTGCAAAGCAGTTGATGAAGGACATTGGAGGGGTTTTAATGGATGTTGAGAGGATGACAGAGATGAGACCTGATGGGCATGCGAACCCTCCAACAGATTGTCTGCATTATTGTCTCCCTGGGCCTATAGATACATGGGTTAGCATGTTTTACCACATGCTTACACAGCTTCTATGAACTGTATTTATAGCTTCTTACTGCCATGCCATGCCATCCATGTAAAGGATCTACAATAAGTGTAATTTGTATAAGTGGCCTCACCTTTTGCGGAATTAAAAACAAGCACGTAGCATTTCAGGCCATGCTGTCCTCATTATTGTACCTAACATGAATCTGACAAGTAACCAGAGTACGACAAGAAATGCGTCCTGGAGCCACAAATTTTCGGTAGAAACTAGCTAGCTAAAAAAAATCGAAAATAATCGCCTGTAGTTTACCCCTTTACCTGTACCTCATGCTTTATTCCCCTCCTGATTCCTCCAGCATGCGTCTTTCCTCGGTGATTCAGGAGCCGGAAAAACCAACTCCAAACAAATATATTTGTTACCATCTCTCTTGTTGTAACCCTACATCTCCCATCTCCACCCAAAACCCCCCATCTACCCTCGCAGCCCTCACCTCCGGCTCCTCTTCTCCGTCTCCCTCTCCCTTTCGTCCTCATCTCTCTCTCTCACCCTCCCACGATCCTTCCCACGCTCCCTCTCTCTTTCACGCTCCCTGTCCTTCGCACTCTCCCGATCTCGCTCCCTGTCTCTCTCCCTGTCTTTATCCCTATGACTATCTCGGTGCCTGTCCCGGTCTCCTTCTCGCTCCTTGTCCCTCTCTTTCTCGCCATCTCTACTTCTCTCCCGCTCCTCCCTATCCTTACCTCTCTCCCTATCCCTCTCCCTTTCTCTTTCTCTGTCCTTACCTCGTTCCCTCTCCCTCTCCCCGTCCCTCTCTCTATCCTTACCTCTGTCCTTATGCCTCTCACCTACTCTCTCATCATCCCTATCCTCACGATCCGCTTCCTTCAAATCCCTGTCCCTCTCCCTTTCCTTCTCCCTACCCCTTTTCCTATCCTTCTCCCGCTCCCTCTCCTTGTCCTTATCCTTCCTACTCCTCTCCTCCCTCCCCTTCCCCATCTCCCTATCCTGTGCCTTATCACCCTCATCACTACCAGAGCCCCGCCCTTCCCCACTCTTCTCCCTCTCCTCTCTCTCCTTTTCCTTCGCCCTCCCTCTCTCACGATCTCTTGCTCGTTCTCTCTCCCTCTCCTTATCCCGCTCCTGCTCCCTGCTTCTGCTCCTGCTTCTGCTCCTGCTCTTGCTCCTGCTCCTGCTCCTGTTGCGTCCTCGTTTGTGCTTGTTCCCCTGCTGCTCCTGCTGCTCAGAAGAGGCCATGTGCCTTTTGCTCCCTTCACTACCCTCCTCTCTTTCCTCCCCCCCTGCCGCTGCCACCCCCACCTCCTCCCTTCTCCTCCCTGCTTACCGTACGTACACATTGATTCAGGGACCAGGGATGATCGCAGCGAATGTGATTGTAGCAGGGGTGATTGTAGGAAGGGGGGGTGATGGGTTCCAATAATGGTGGTGGCGGGTTGAGGGGAGAGCCAGGGGTGGTTAGAATGGCAAAGGCAAAGAAAACGAATCACAGAACTAGAAGAAGCAAACTCGAGATAGACAGGGTAAAAGAAGAAGAAAAGAAAAAGCAGAGAAAAGGCACAACAAGCATCAGTCGCATACCTGGAGTCCCAAGTGGTGCCCCATATGCAGCCGACGCTTGCCGCCCAGTCGACGCCAACCGTCCAATCATGGGCGGCCACGTGCCAGCCGCCATTTCCTCTTCGAGCTTCTTCCTGTGCGCTGCAACCTTCACTTCCACCTCGAATGCCTTGAAATGCTGAGCCTCTAAGGCATCTCTGAATTCCAATACTGCTAGCTCCAGTTTCCTCTGCTTTGCCCTCCTCTCCTCCTCCTCCTGCTGGTCCTGAACGTGCATCTGCCTGTTACCCTGGATACCGCCTCCCCCAGAAGAGACGGAGTTTCGGTGGGCGGCGGAGGGGCGACGGGGTGGTGAGCCTTCGTCTTCGTCTGAGGAGTTGTATGAGACGATTGAGGCTGCTTTAAAGGGGGACGGAGCAGCAGCACCAGCAGAACGAGAACCAACCGCAGCATCACTCCCACCCACCGATTCCCTCCTCTTCCTCCCCTTCCCTGCTCTCTCATCATCATCCCCTTCCTCATTCCCCTCTTCATCCTCTCCCTTCCCTCCTCCCTCCTCATCCTCGTCCTCATCATCCTTATTCCACTTTGACTGGGGCAGACCGACCGCTTTCTTTTCCAGCTTCAGCTTAACCGATTTCAGAAGCGGCCCCAGCTTCTCAAGCTTCTCCAATTTCGATCCAAAGGCTTTAAGCTCTGGTGCAGGCAGGACAAATTTCTTGGGCAAAGCAGCACCACCACTATCAGCAGCAGTACCGGCTTTACCCCCTTCCCCACCCCCATCGCCCTTGCTCCCCTCCTTCTCCTCTTTTTTCACCTCAACCCATCCCGACCACCCCACACTCCCTTCCATTCGCTTCGCAATGCTCGCCCTCCGAGCCTCTGCTGCAGCTTCGGCCGCAGCAGCAGCCGCCGCAGCTGCCTCAGCTTCGGCAGCCTTCTTTGCCTGTTCAGCCGCATCCAACGAAAGCAGCCGAGCCACCATGATAGGCACTCCCCCTCGCGTCGATAAGCCGTTGTGCTTGCAGCGACGCTTGAGTTCCACCAATGGGAGTGCAAGGAGCTCCTTTCGTGCTGCCTCCTCTGGAGAGACTGGCACAGAAGCATCTGCTGCTGCTGCGTCTCCCTCAGCTGCTACCGATGCTGATCCTTCCGCAGAAGCAGCAGCAGTGTCAGCACCACCACCAACACTGCCCGCACCAGCAGCAGCAGCACCACCAGCAGCGGCACCAGCACCACCCGCACCTTGATTCGCATCCTTTAACCCACCAGCCACATTCCCGCCCGCGCCTTGCTCCTCCTCCTCCTCTTCATCCTCCGGCAGAGTGTGAAACGGCGGCACAGCCGTCCAAATCGGCCTCAGAAACGTCATTCTAAGCCCGTTCAAATACGCTTCCGAGAACAAAAACCAGTCGGCCCACACCTGAATCACTTTCAACACACGGTCCTTAAGAGCTTCCGCAGTCATCCTGCCCGAAACCGCGCTTAAACAGTCGTTAAAACTCTCCATTACGTCGGGTAAATACCCCTGGAAAGCCGTGCGGTAGGCCGACGCGTTCCGCACCGGCGCCGACGAGTTGTGGAGGATATCTGATACAAGCATCAGGCGCGCGACTTTAAGGGGGATGGGCGTTTCGAGCAGCGTGAGGGACTCTATAAGCACTTCTACTATGTCTGTGGCTGCTTCTGCGTGGTCTAGAGCAAACGCCATGGCATTGCAAATGTCCTCCCGCTCCAGAGAGAGCCGCCTCAGCAGGTCCTCAAACTTGTCCCGCTGCTTCTCTGTTAGGGAGTGCTCCTGAGAAGGATACAGGGTGAAGAGAAGGCAGCAGGAGAACAAACAAACAAACAGTGGTTTAGAGCGGAGGAGGGGAGTGAGCGATTGTATAAGCACTTCGACTACGTCTGTGGCTGCCTCTGCGTGGACGAGAGCAAACGCCATGGCGTTGCAAATGTCTTCCCTCTCCAGAGAGAGCCGCCTCAGCAAATCCTCGAACCTGTCCCGCTGCTTCTCCGTCAGGGAGTGCTCCAGGGGGTATGGGAAAGGGCCAAGCACAGGGAAAAGCATTGGCAGGAGAACAGGCTTCAGCCACAGCCAGCCTTGTAGACCGCCCTAAACTGGAGGCTAATGCATCCGTATGACCCCCCTTCTCGTAGCTTCCATTAACCCCAACAACTTACTCACCTTTGGCTTCCCTGCAGCATGGTGGACGGTGGATCCGCCCTAGTCGTTGACCAGAATGGTGGGCCCCACCAGCTCATCGCCCTGGACAGGGGAGTCGCGTACCTATCATCACCCTCACACCAACATACCTTTGGCTTCCCTGCAGCGTAGGTGGAGCCGCCCTTGTCCTTGTCCAGTATGGTGGGCCCTGAGAGCTCGTCCGTCTTGGGCAGAGGAGGAGGAATCCACCTGCCGCTGCCTGAGATCATGATGTAGGGGTCCGTGCGCCACCGCTGCAAAGTATCTCCCTGTTATTCATGTAAAAAAACGAGGCAGAGAGTACAGCATAATGAGCATTAAGCACGGCACAGCAACAACTCATAAGGGGACGGGATCCACCTGCCGCTGCCTGTGATCATGATGTAGGGGTCCGTGCGCCACCGCTGCAGTGTGTGTCCCTGTGGTCAGTGCCAGGAGGTGCAGTGACAAGAGGCAGGGAGCAAGTCGGAGAGGCTACCTGGGCGAAGCACTAGATATAAGTACCTGGGCGAAGGAGAGGGTACCTGGGCGAAGGAGAGGGTACCTGGGCGAAGGAGAAGACGCGCCAGACGTAGTAGGTGTGGTCGGGTGAGCCGAGGTCGAAGAGGAAGGAGAAGAGCGGGTTGCCCCCGCCCCTCCGTGCAGCAGCTGCTGCACATGGATAGAGCTCTAGCCTCGCAGGGAAGGAGAGCTCACCTGGGCGAAGGAGAAGACGCGCCACACGTAGTAGGTATGATCGGGCGAGCCGAGGTCAAAGAGGAAGGAGAAGAGCGGGTTGCCCCCGCCCCTCCGTGCAGCAGCTGCTGCACATGGATAGAGCTCTAGCCTCGCAGGGAAGGAGAGCTCACCTGGGCGAAGGAGAAGACGCGCCACACGTAGTAGGTATGATCCAGCGAGCCAAGGTCAAAGAGGAAGGAGAAGAGCGGGTTGCCGCGGCCGCGCTCCATGATGGCCTGCTCCAACATGCACCCGTCGTCCACCCCAGCCCTTACAGCGCCAGCCCGCCCTCTATGGCATGGTCCACATGCACTCGTCCTCCAACCCAGCACAGATTACAGCAGGGGAGACGCGCTAAGAACCAGTACCTGGGCAAAGGAGAAGACGCGCCAGACGTAGTAGGTGTGATCCGGCGAGCCGAGGTCAAAGAGGAAGGAGAAGAGCGGGTTGCCGCGGCCGCGCTCCATGATGGCCTGCTCCAACATGCACCCGTCGTCCACCCCAGCCCATACAGCACATACAGCGCCAGTGCGACCCCTATGCTATGGTATAGGTCCCACACAGAGTGCAGCTCAGCTCACAGGGTGCCAGGGAAACAGGGGAGAAGCACTCAGAAATAAGCACCTACCTGTGCGAAAGAGAAGACGCGCCAGACGTAGTAGGTGTGATCTGGCGAGCCGAGGTCGAAGAGGAAGGAGAAGAGCGGGTTGCCGCGGCCGCGCTCCATGATGGCCTGCTCCAACATGCACCCGTCGTCCAGCACGTACAGCGCCAGCGTGTCGATGATGTGGCGCTGATGTGGATCCTTGGGCGGGACGATCTTGATGTCTGGCACGTTGGGGGTGATGACCTGGGAGAGAGAAGGGGAAGGGGGGGAGGAAGGGGGTGGAGGGGGGGGGGGGGGGGGTAGAAGGGGTAAGACGGGGTAAGGAGTGAACAACAAGGGTGAAGAGGGTAATAAAGGGGTGATGGGATGACAGAGGAAAGAACAAGCAAAGCGAGAGTGCATGGCATGAGGAGTGCAAGGCACCGAGTGAGGAAGAGCATGAGGTGACACGAGAGAGAGGAAAGGCGGCGATTGGAAGAGACACACCCCAAGGACCATGAACTTTCACTGAACACTCACCACCTCCGCGTTCTCTGCTCCCAGGCTAGCCATGTTGATCGCAGCCGCCGCAGCGGCAGCAGCGGCGGCAGCAGCAGCAAGCGGGTCAGCACTGTTAGCAATAACAGCGCTGTTGGCAGCAACGGCCTCTCCTGAACACTCACCACCTCAGCGTTCTCTGCTCCCAAGCTAGCCATGTTGATCGCTGCCGCCGCAGCGGCAGCAGCGGCGGCAGCAGCAGCCAGAGGGTCAGCACTGTTGGCAATAACAGCGCTGTTGGCAGCAACGGCCTCTCCTGAGTTGGGCGGCAGCTCCTTGGGGCGAACTGCCATCTGGCCGGGGGGAGGCGCCGGGAGGGCCGAGGCAGGCAGAGAGACGGCCTTGCCCCACCCTATGCGGATCTCGTACTCATACACCACCATGCCTGGTTTGTGTGGGGTGTGGGGGAGAGGGGGTAGGGGGAGGTGGGGCAGGGAGGGAGATGGGTGTGAGTTGAGGGAGAGTCGGCGCTATTGGCAATATCAGGACGGTTGGTAGCACCAGTAAGTGCTGTTGGCAGCAACAGCCTCTCCTGAGTTGGGCGGCAGCTCCTTGGGGCGAACTGCCATCTGGCCGGGGGGAGGCGCTGGGAGGGCCGAGGCAGGCAGAGAGACGGCCTTGCCCCACCCTATGCGGATCTCGTATTCATACACCACCATGCCTGCAAGAGGGGAGATGGGGGAATACAATACAGTGGATGAAAAGGATGACTCGGGGAGAAGGCCTTGCCCCAGCCTACGCGGATCTCATACTCATACACCACCATGGCTGCGCTTGTGGTGGGGTGATTAAGGGATAAGGTAGAAGAAAAATATATACATAAAAAGTCAGAGCGGCAGCCTTGGCCCAACTCCTTCCCACCCAGCCTCCAGCATCATCCTCCACCAAACCCAACCATTCCCCCATTCTCCACCTTTTCCCACACGCCCTTTCTCTTTCCCCTCCCAACCCCACCTTCCCAGCACGTACAGTCCATCTCGTTCCTGGCCTTGGCAGCATCGGCGCGCTTCATAAAAGCCACAAACCCGCAGTTGCCTTTCCCCTCTCCCCCACACACACACACCATCCAACCCCTCTAAACGTACAGTCCATTTCGTTCTTGGCCTTGGCAGCATCGGCTAGCTTCATAAACGCCACAAACCCGCACTCCCCCCCAGCACGTACAGTCCATCTCGTTCTTGGCCTTGGCAGCATCGGCGCGCTTCATGAACGCCACGAACCCCCAGTTGCCTTTCCCCTCTCCCCACCACACACACACACCATCCAACCCCTCTAAACGTACAGTCCATCTCGTTCTTGGCCTTGGCAGCGTCAGCTCGTTTCATGAACGCCACGAACCCACAGTTGCGCTGCCGCCGGTGCTCCTCCTCTGTGCGCGGCCACATGATCTTCACACTCGCGATCGGCCCAAACCGCCCAAACGTCCTCAGGAGAAAGTTCTCGTCCACCTGGAGAGAGATGGAAAAAGAGGGGAAAAGGAACGACGAAGAGGGGAGGCTAAGGCCCTGATGGACCGCCGGTGCTCCTCCTCGGTGCGCAGCCACATGATCTTCACACTCGCTATCGGCCCAAACCGCCCAAACGTCCGCAAGAGGAAATTCTCGTCCACCTGAAAAGCAAAGGAGGGGAGCACAGGAGCACAGGGATGAAAGAGAGTGAGGGGTGGTTAGAGGGCGTGAGCGTGAAGAGCTGCAAGCTATGTGGATTTTACTTTTGAGAATTCTCAAAAGGAGAGCGAGGGGTGGTTAGAAGACATGAGCGTGTGAAGAGCCGCAAGCGCAACGGACGGAAGGGCGAAAAAACGATGATACCTTACCTCCATCACAAACCACTCCTGTCTTACAAGTCACCATCAATATGTACTATGTCCTAACTTGCTGGCGACTCCCATCACCACCTGTTGCATTGCATGCCACATCCTAGGCCGTGGTGATGAGGAGACTCGCTCACCATCACTCCAATCTGACAACTCCCCATTATATATTCTGTTCTTACTCACTCCCAACGCACATCATCACCTATTGCGATGACCTTACCTTGGGGGACAGGTTGCCGACATAAAGGTTGGTGGTGAGGGGGTCTCCCCCATCGTCTGTAGAAACGGTGGTGATGCCTGGAGGCGTCGCCATGAGGGGCGGCCCTGAGTCAAACTTGGATGGCTGCACGCATGAATGGAGGGACAAGGGATTTGGAGGTGCTTAGTGAGGGGGTCGCCCCCATCGTCGGTGGAAACGGTGGTGATGCCGGGAGGGGTGGCAATGAGAGGCGGGCCTGTGTCGAACTTGGACGGCTGCAGACATGGATGGATGTGGAGGAAAGGGGTGGAAGCGGGGGAGAGGGGGGGGAGAAGAGAAGAAGGGGCTGTTGAGACACCTAAAACAAGAGGGTCGCCCCCATCGTCGGTGGAAACGGTGGTGATGCCGGGAGGGGTGGCAATGAGAGGCGGGCCTGTGTCGAACTTGGATGGCTGCACGCATGGAGAGAAAATGTATGGGGTTTGGAGAAAGGGGGAAGGAGGGGCGTGGGGGGGGAAGGGGGGGGTGAGGACGGGGGGGGGGGGGAGTGGAGAAAGTCAATGCAGTAGGCAAACGAACAGGGATGAGGGACAATAGATGAATACATGGAGAACATACTCAGACGCAGCATTTTGAAAAACGCAAATAACACAAGCCGTTAATCTAATGACAAAAAGTGGACCACGGGTCGGGGGGGAGGGAGAACGAACACGAGAAGATGGGCCGCAGAACCCCAAGTCTCACCCTCCTTCGAACCCCATCGGGAAACGGCTGCAGCAGATCCGTGCCCTCACTCCCCAGCAGCGACGGCTGTCCTCGTCCCAGGCAACAGCAGGGGAGTACGAACAAGAGAAGAACGGCCACAGAACACCAAAACTCACCCTCCTTCGAACACCGTCCGGAAACGGCTGCAGCAGATCCGTGCCCTCACTCCCCAGCAGCGACGGCTGCCCCTCGTTGCCATACGGCTTGCCTGCCGCCCTCGCTTCCGCTCGCTCCTTGAGCTCCTTCTCCCTCTGCTCGCGCAGCTCCTGCTCCTGCTTCAACTCCTGCATGAAGAAATCGATGTTGCGCGGCTTCTTCTGCTCCTTCGCCTTTGGAACGGGCTCGGCTGGCGCCTCTGGTTCATCCAGGCTGAATGCCTGTGTAACGGGAGGGACGCAGGGCGGCGGGAGGGACAGAAGGGGGGGAAGGAGGGAGGAACAGAAGGAGGGATGGAGGAAGGGATGGAGAGAGGGATGGAGGAAGGGAGGGAGGAGAGCAAAGAGAAGGCGAGTAGTTTGGATGTTGGTCTCAGATGTTCATACAGACTAAAGAAAATAGGAGAAAAGGTAAGAGAGGGGACGGTCGGGGAGGGTGGTGTGGTGGGGGGTGGGGGGAAGGAGGCAGGGACGGAGGGGAGGGGGGAGGGAGGGGGAGGGAAGGAGGAAGTGACGGAGGAAGGGGGAGAGCAAAAAGAAAGCGAGCGAGAGGAGGAATGGAAGCTGGTCTCGGAAAAATAAATTTACTGATAAGGACAATGGAAAAAAGGTGGGAGAGAGGACAAACGGGGGGGTGGGCGGGGAAGGGGAGGGGGTGTGAGGGAGATAGCAAGACGAGGGCCAACAAGGCTTGAAAGTGACTTGAAAAGGGTAAAATGCATCTAAGACTGAGAATAATGATGAAGAGGTAGGTAGGAAAGTTGCTGTGCACTCACTCAGTTGCTGCCCATTCTTCACCAGGATTTACCTGGTGTGTGTGATTTACGTGAACTTTAAACCGAGTTTTTTAAAAAATTGAGAATTCTCAAAAACTCCTTGATATGGCACTCCCACGGACGTACGTGAACTTTAAAGCGCCTTGAAAAAGGGGCTCAAACAAACATGACGTTAACTGAATATTGACTGGAAACGTGAGTTCAAAATGGCAATCCCATGGTATGGTTGTAGTGACTGCCACTCCCACCCGCGCGCCCACCCACGCCCCCACCCGCGCGGCCCCCCGTGCGTCCTCCCCCCCCCCTCCCCCTCTGCGCCCCCTTTCCACTTTAAAACGGTAACCATAATTGGGGATATTGACATTATCGCCCCCACCCCCACCCCCGCCTCCCCACCCACCGCACCCCCGCTGCAGTGCACCTACATTCTTGTCCTTGGATAGGATTCCCGCAAGCGGGCTTTGGGACGGAGGCGGCAGGAAGGACGGAACATATCTGCCATTCATACAGCACCATGCACGAGACGGGCAGAAGAGCAAACGAAGGCGAGGGAGGAGCACAGGAAGGAGCACAGGAAGGAGCACAGGAAGGAGCACAGGAAGGAGCACAGGAAGGAGCACAGGAAGGAGCACAGGAAGGAGACGGGAGGGGCACAAGAAGGAGCACGGGAAGGGGCACAGGGAGGGGCACAAGAAGGAGCAGGGGAAGGGGCACAGGGAGGGGCACAAGAAGGAGCAGGGGAGGGGAAATGGTACGAAGAGATACGACAAAGGCAGACATAACGGAAGGGAAAGGGGCAAAAGAGGAGGCGGCAGTGACGGGGAGGGGGAAGAGGGGGGACGGTGTGGGGAAGGGAGGGGGGGATAGGGAAAATGGTAGGCCAGGACGGTAGCAGGGGGAGACGGGAAGAGTGTGAGGGGAGATTAGGGTACGGAAAGGGACGGAGACTAGTGTCATCTCCAAATCCCTGCCACAAGAAACATCATCACACGGTCGTTCCCATCGTCTCTGACCCGTCACACTAACCGGACCCCCCCAGCAGAAACGAGCGGATGCGAAAACAGCAACGGAATGGTATCCGCGAATTCGACAGGGTAAATCTCCTCCGAGAAAACCGTCGTCTAAGCCTTCCAGATGAGATCGCATTAACCTAGAGCTTTCCAGGCCTTTCTGATCTGAGATCTGATACGATATGATATGATACGCTGTGGGAAGAGGAATGTCGGACAGGAGGAGGCGCCGGAAGGCCTCTCACCTCGCTGTGGCCTTTTTGGAAGCGCTTCCAGGTTCTGCAAAGGAGATATGTTCGGCATAAATGGGTACATCACAGCCTATTAAAATTAAGAACGGAGCCTCCTTTAACGAGTTTGTCGCAACCTCTAGCGACAAGGGAATCCCGGAAAGAAACCCACTTGGTAACAGAGTGTCCCGCTCAGATGAAGCTAAAGGGTTATGGAGGACATTGGCTTGAGAATAACGGAAAGGGGAAAAAGGCACGCAGCAGAGAATAAGATAGGCGTGCTTAGGATGCGGAAAACGCCCCGCCCACGGAAAACGGTAATAACCCGGAACCAAGAGATGCTTAACAGAGCAGCTGTACCTTCCCCGGGTGTGTCGTGCTTGGCGTTGGGGTTGATGGTTCCTCCTCGCACAAATGCCTTCGGTTTCTTATCATCCACTTTGAAAGACTCGACGAATTCATCGTAGACACGCGCCGCCTCCTCCGCTTCGCGCTGCAATACGAAACATCAGAGTAAAGATTGGTATGTGGCAAAAAAGAGTTAGAGTTCCACGTGGAAAGAGGAAAGAAAAGGGTTAGAAGCTACACTTAACCGAACGCTGGAACAACATCCTGAGACCTAGAAACATTAAAGACGCAAAACAATTATTAGAGAAACGGGGAGATAAGAATTATCATAAATCCTCCAATAGCGACGACTTACCTTTTTTTTCGCCTCCTCTTCGCGATGCTTCTGAAACGGGGTTTTCTTCTTCGCCAGCGAAAAGGCCTTCATCGTGGCTCGAGCGGCTCGGTTCGTCGCATTAGTCAACAGATTACGCAGTAAGAGCTTGATCTCTCATACATTAGTCGATTAACCAAGGACGAAGGTTATAAGCCTTGATTCGTGCTACGTGACTTGATTCAGACTGGTATGTGAGGTGACTGCAGGTGATTGCTAGTTGCTGATAGGAAATACTTGCTCGCACGCGATTGACTGAGAAGAACGCCCTTGGGGATGGTTTCCTTCACCGCCTCGATTGTGCCGTTTTTTGGTTGAACGTTATCGCGAATGATGATGGGTTTGGTACAGTTTATGGATGATGTATGTTCCACCCTAAAGAACCTTTGTGAGGCTAAAAGAAACTCGTTTGATTTGATGGTTTGGAACAGGACCTCAGAAGCCTGAATTCTCACCTTTCTTATTGGAAATTTTGTCACGTTGTCTGACTCAGCATTTGGTTACACCAATCCAGAAGCATATGTACAAGCAAAACACTTGGTCACAATCACCGCTTCGTCCCCTAAGTTTGCTTAGGGCATCATCACCAACTATCAAAAAGCCAGCTGCAGCAGAACAACTCGAAACCCACTATCTTCACCTTTGTTTGCTGCAGGAATGGATACAACTACCCACATTTTGCGGACGTCTCAAAACTACCCACATTCCCCCTCCACGAGCCCCCAGCAACACCGACCCTTGCAATCCATCCTCCAACACCACTTCATCCAGATTCATTAACAACACCCTATCCCCCGGGGCCTGCTGCACCAGAAACGGTATCAGGCTGAAAACAAAATCTGTCAAAAAGTCACTTCAGCTGAACCACCTCCCCAACAACCCTCCCTTGTCCAGATCCACTATCTCCACCTTCTCCCCTGGGATCTCCTGCACCAGGCTCGCCCCATATGCTGTAACTGGTGTCTGCATGGGCCACAGGGAAGGAAAATGGGGATATTTTCAAGGGTTTGGACAATGGAAAGTGTTTACACAAAGTACAAGGGCCTACGGGAAGCGGGAGATGACGAGGTCAATGGAAATGTCGAACGTCAACGAGTTGAACGTGAAGTATCGAAAGCATATGCCTGCAGAGCTAAAAGAAACTCACGATACCTAGGCACAATGGCACTACCTGGTAACCGGATTTGAATTTCCCTTGTAACACCCTCTGTGCCACTTCCACACTGCAGCTCGCCGTAAAGTGGTACCCTGAAAAGAAGCAAAGGGAAAGGAGGCAGCGGAAGGGAATTGGGAAGCAACACATCTCCTGAAGGCAGCTTGAAGGATTTCCGTGGAACCTACACCGGTTGCAGTTTGGAGTGACATTTGAGTCGACTCAAAAGTAATTTCCGTGGCAGCTACACCACTTGCAGTTTGAATTGAATGGTACTCTGAGAAAGGCTAGGGGAATGGAGGCAGGAGAAGGAGATACGAGACTGGTAACGGAGGCAGCAAGAAATAAATCTATGCAACAAGTATTAAAAACGAGTTATGAATAAGAGCCAGCTCTTGGACTACCTACAAGAGTAAGCCGGTACAAGAATCTGTTGAAATTCTCGGATGATCACAACCATCATTCGAGTCACCTTCAAATACAAACACTATTCTAAAATGTGTAAAGGCATAATCAACACCCCTTTAACTCACCTTCGCCTACAATCACAGAGGCCATGTGCCTCTTGTTGCTGGCAGTATCAACCACCTCCCCCGCACATGCCATGCCCGTGTTTGGCCTGCGTCCCTGCGCGAGGGAAACGGAAGGCGAAGCATGCAGCAGGGAGGACAAGAAGGGTTGATTGATACGATGTGGCAGCAAGCCTCTGGTGCTAGCTGCAACAGACTCTTCGACACATCCCAATCCCACCCTGCCCATGTCAAGCGCCAACGTCTCCCTAGCACATGTCATACCCGTGTTGAGGCAGTGACCCTGCAGCAGTGGAGGGGCGAAGGATCAGCACGAGGAAGGAACACAAGAGGGCATTGAAGCAGCAGAGGGCACTGAAGCACCAGCCAACACATGCTTACAGGGGTGGTGTCGGGAGTGGGCAGCATGCAGTTGGCAGGTTGCAGGAGGAGGGTTTTGAGACGTCTCAAAACACTTCTTCATACACGCAGCCAACACATGCTTTGCTTACAGGGGTGGTGTCCGGAGTGGGCAGCATGCAGTTGGCAGGTTGCAGGAGGAGGGTTTTGAGACGTCTCAAAACACTTCTTCATACACGCAGCCAACACATGCTTTGCTTACAGGGGTGGTGTCCGGAGTGGGCAGCATGCAGTTGGCAGGTTGCAGGAGGAGGTTGAAGGGCCAGACTCGGGTGTACAGAGACGTCACCCAGGAGGATTCACCTGGTGTGTGTGATTAAGAGAATGAGAGAAAAGAAAGAGGAATGAGAGAGAAGTAAAAAGACAGCGAAAGGAGGAATGGTAGGACAAACTGACGTGAGCCAAAAAAACGATGCCTCCTGGTGGTGTGAGTGAGAGTGAGAGTGAGAGTGAGAGTGAGAGGGAGGCATGGCGGAAACGGGTAAAGGGAGGAAGAAAAGAACGGCGAGGAACAGGTGGGAGATGGGAAAATTGTGAGGAGAGAAAAGTAAGAGAATCATAAAAGCAGGAAAGGACCGGAGGTAAAATCTGCACAGATGGCTGTGCTATTCCATGGACTATCTGAAACATGGCAGCTTTTGAGAATTCTTAAAAGTCGCACCAAAATCTGCACAGATGGCTGTGCTATTCCATGGACTGTCTGGAACATGGCGATGATTCTGGGGATAGAGGAGGCACTAGGGGTGCTGCAGAGGGATATATACAACAGCCCAAAAGGACGAACAGAAACAAAGCATATTGAGAAATAACAGAAAAAAGGGATTTCAAGGATCCGCACTAATAATATAACATATGGTGGAAGAGAGAAACAACTCGCCTGGCACGTAAACTGTGATGTTGGGGATGGAGGTGGAAAGAGAAGTGCTGAAGAGCTCAGCTGCTGGGAAGGAGATGGCGGAGAGAGGCGGGAGCTCCTTGCGAATGAGGAAGGAGCGACCACTGTGGAGGACAGGGGAGAGAAGGGAGGGGGGCGGGAGGAGATGGGACAGGAGATAAGCTGCTGGGAAGGACATGGTGGAGAGAGGCGGAAGCTCCTTGCGGATAAGGAAGGAGCGACCGCTGGGAGGGGGAGGGGAGACGGGAGAGGGTGGCACAGAGGCAAGGTTGTTGAATATGATGGAGGGAGGCCGCTGAGGAAGAACAAGATATGCTGCTCTGCGGGCATAGCTCGTTGACTTTTGAGTCGACTCAAATGTCATCTGAAGAAGAACAGGATATGCTGCTCTGCGGGCATAGCTCCTTGCAAACGAGGAAGGAAGCACAACTGGGTAGGAAGGAGGGATATATGCCTCGTTCCTACCCTGAGATACACAACTGGTTACGCATGCGTGCATGGCCATGCACACGTTACATGCACATGAACATGCACACGTCACACGCACATGCACATGCACATGCACATGCACATGCACATGCACATGCACATGAGTGAAAGGAGTTAACGGGCTGAGCGGTCATACTATATATTTCCACCATATTTTCAAAAACGGCCCCATGGAGGAACGAAGGAAACTCCAAAAGAAACCACATGCTGCTGTAAGGAAAGAACATTTTGGGTCATGAGGCTCGCACAGGTCCTTGCAACCTCTTGAGGGCAGGTCCTAGGAACTCCACACAACCACACTCCTAGGCTCCCATGAAGTCAAGTTCTCGTTAAACCACACTCACTATTTCGCAACGGCCTCCTTCACAATCGCGCCATTCCTGCGCACGAGCCCTCCCAGCGTGAGAATGTGCTTGCTGCAAATTCACACAAGTATCCCTGCTGCATGCAGTAGCGACGGTGCCACTGTGTGGACTCTACACTCACAGCACTCACTATTTCGCAACGGACTCCTTCACAATCGCGCCATTCCTTCGCACGAGCCCTCCCAGATGAGAATGTGCTTGCTGCAAATTCACACAAGTATCCCTGCTGCATGCAGTAGCGACGGTGCCACTGTGTGGACTCTACACTCACAGCACTCACTATTTCGCAACGGACTCCTTCACAATCGCGCCATTCCTGCGCACCAGCCCTCCCAGCGAGATACGTGCTTGGCGCAGATTCACATCACAAATTAATAATTCCCAGCAGCACTCACTATTTCGCAACGGACTCCTTCACAATCGCGCCATTCCTGCGCACCAGCCCTCCCAGCGAGATACGTGCTTGGCGCAGATTCACATCACAAAATAATAATTCCCAGCAGCACTCACTATTTTGCAACGGACTCTTTCACAATCGCGCCATTCCGGCGCACCAGCCCTCCCAGCGGCAAACTGTGCCTTGCACCCGATACGAGCACACTGCGGGATGACTGGTCGTTGCTGGGTGGGGTTGACGGAGGGCCCTCGCCCTGACAAAGACACCGGAAGGAAATGGAAGGGAGAAAGGAATAATGAGTCACCACATGGGCCACCACATGGGCCACCACATGGGCCACCACATGGGCCACCACATGGGAAACCACATCGGCAAAGAGTCTTCCCCCATACTGGTGGGCAGAATACACGTGGGATTTGGGACAGGTGGCCGATATGAGCATGCTGTGGGATGGCATGGCAGCACGATGATGGGAGTAGGACAGGGGGTCTTCTCACTGTTGGTTGGCAAATTGAAAGTTTCAAGTTGAACGGAAAGAACGGACTTGATCAATGCTGGGCATTTGACGTATGGGGGGTTGTTGTTGATTCGACAGGCACATCGGAAAGGAATTGACTGTGGTGGAGAGGCGTTTAACACACACACACACACACACACACACACACACACACACACACACACACACACACGCGCGCGCGCGCACACAGACACACAGAGTCACACGCACACACACAATCACACGCATACACTCACAGGAGCAGTAATGGAAATGTAAGTGGCGAGGTGAAGCTCCGTTGCTGAGGGGAGCTTGGCCTTCAAGTACCCTGCCAGGCAGTCTGACAGTGGGAGGGAAGAGGGAGGGAATGAAGGTAATGTAATGAGATGTCCTCCTGTTGAGCAAGAAACACGGCCCTTGAGGCTTTAGGTACCCCGCTTTAAAAATTTTGAGAAGCGGGGAATTGCAGCAGTCACTTATTGTGGCACAGAAGCTTGCGCTTGGGAATGCTTGTAGCACCCTTGAGGTATGCTGCCAGGCAGTCTAATATACCATTGTCACCATGCCTCCTAGTTTACCATTAACACCATCAACAGCAATTATCTTAACCATTTTGAGAATTCTCAAAAGCATACCTCCCGCAACGACGCCAAATCCGACACCAGGCAGAATCATGACGTTTTTCTCCTTGCCTCCCAGAAAACTCGAGGCAATGAAATGTCGTCGGCACCATAACCAGCGTACCCCACACCTCGAACCCCATACCTCGAACCCCATACCTCGAACCCCATACCTCCCGCAACGACGCTAAAGCCGACACCAGGCAGAACCATGACCTGTTTCTTCTTGGCTCTGGCATCATACGTGCGTGCATGCTCCATCACCTGTCATGCCATGTCATGCCATGCCAAGCCACGCCACGCCATGCCATGCCATGACATGCAATGCAATCTCATGCCATGCCACGCCATGCCACGCCCGCCACGCCACGCCACGCCATGCCATGCCATGCCATGCCATGCCATGAGCCCCACACCAAAAGCCTCATCCCATCGCGTGCATGCCACAAATCAAACCCCATGCCACGTGCAGCAAACAAAACCCCCCTACACCATGAACCCATACCTCACTCTCCACTAAGTGCCAACTGAACGATAAATTCCTCTTAACTAAGCGCTGCAAAGGCGCACCTTGAACTCGTTAGTAACATCAAGGTAGTGGGTGCCGGTGCTGATGCAGGCCTCAATCATGGGCTTGGATGTGACTGCGAAGGGCTGTGACACAATTTGCAACAATTCACAGGAAAAAACACAGGTGAGAGTGGTGAGTCGACTCAAAAGGCACTCCCTCCTGCAGTATCGAGGCAGTGAGAGGGGACCTTGATGAGGCCATCGGTATTGAGGTAGTGCCGATGCAAGCCTCATGTATCATGGCTCTTGATGTGAGTGTGAAGGGCTGGGACACACAGTGCACAGACAAAATCCCGTGAGACTCTTGAGTCAAGAAACAGCTTGGGGCAGTGAGCGCTAATGTGAGTGCAGGCTTCAGTCACGCCATGGGCTTTGGCGTGTCTGAAGGGCTATACCACAGCGCAAACGAAAGCACAGAGAAAATTATAGCGCAAGCAAACCATGCCGACAGGCAACAAAGTGCGTGCGATAATTCACCCCATGCAGCACACTCCCTAGAAATTACTCAACACAGCATGTATGTACCCACCCACTTCAACCCAGAAATCAGCACTCACCCCAATAGCACTCATCACCCATCACAACAACTCTCGTCACTCACCCCAGCCACATGCAGCACCACTTTGTGCCTCCCCTCCCCCCACCAGCTCCACCAGCCCTTGTGTATCGATACTAAGTTACTACTGAGTCGACTGAATAGCAGCGCAGCTATCCCAGCAGCTCTCATCACTCACCCCAGCCACGTGCAGCACCACCTTGTGCCTCCCCACCAGTTCTTTCAACCCTTTTGTATCGTTCAAGTCCACTGCTGCTACAGGCAGACCCACAGCCTTGCCAATCGACCTGGGGAGCAAGAGAGAAGGATGGAAATGGGGGGGATGGTTGGGGAGTATATTTTTGTCGACTCAAAAGAGAAGCATGGAAATGGGGGGATGGTTGGGAAGTAGGATTGACACGTCGTTCAAGTCCACTGCTGCTACAGGCAGATCCACAGCCTTGCCGAGGCTCCTGGGAAGCAGGAAGGACAGAAGAATAAGGGGGGAGGGGAGGGGAAAAGAGCTGACTAGAACAACGTTCATCGCTGCTACCGGCAGACCCATGGCCTTGCCGATACCTTGGGAACCAGGAAAACAGGAAAAATAGGTGGTAAAGGAGGGTGAGAGAGGAGGGGGGGGGGGGGGGGGGGGAAACGGGAGGAGGAGGAGGAGAGATGACTAAAAATTGTCATCTCTCCTCCTCCTCTGGAGGAGAGAATTCAGCACTGCTACAGACAGACCTGTCAATTAATCTGGAGAGGCAGGAGGGGCAAAAAAACGTTGGAAGAGGAGGAGGGGAGATGGGTGTGTGGAGAGATTTTTAGGCGCCCTTCAAGTCCACAACAGACCCATAACCTTGCCGATCCTTGTGGGAAACTTCGCAGCAAGAATTTGGATGGAAGCGGTTGTGAATGTCAACCAAAATTGCTCACTTCGACATAGCATAGAATCGATTGTAGTGTAAAGCCGATGCAAATTGAACAGCAAAAAATGGGTACAGCAGTTTCCCCAGAACTGGTTGGTAGTTACAGTACGAATAATTACTGTACGAATTATTACTGTATAAATAGCTTACTGTAGCTTCTTCAAATTCCTCCCTGCTAGGGTGGCTGGAAAACCAATCTTCTTAATCTTCTGAGCTATGAGCGTGCCGGTGGTGCCTGGAGAAGGGGGGAAAGAGAAAACGCAAGGTAAAGAGCTGGGAGAGCCAGGAGAGAAAGAGAGAGAGGAGTGGCTGGAAAACCAATCTTCTTAATCTTCTGGGCTATGAGCGTGCCGGTGGTGCCTGGAGAAGGGGAGAGGGAACACCAGAGAGAGAGAGAGCGCGAGGGGAAGAGGAGGGAAGCAGAAGAGAGTGAGTCGTGACTGGAAGGCCCACGCGTTCCCTGTAGTAGTACTAGCACGGGTTACATCTGGCACACGCTACCTGCAGCACACGTGTAACACATACATGTGGCACACGCTACCTGTAGCACACGTGTAACACATACACGTGGCACACGCTACCTGTAGCACACGCTACATGTGGCAAACGTTATCTGCAACACACGTTACCTGTAGCACCGTAGACAAGAACGCCATTCTTCAATTCCGACTGTGGTTCTTCCTCTGATTCTGAACCTGAGTTTGAGTCTGAATCTGAATCTGAGTCTTCTTGGGTTATACGTCCCCATAGGAAACGCCAACCCTCCAAGAACAGGTTCCAATAGAGAAACTCCCGATCTACCGTTGCAAACGGAAGAACTGGCGGCATCGCGCAAAGAAACCTGGTTGCGGGCAATCTGCTAGTATGCTTCTTGCAAGCACGGTAGAAGCGGAAAAATCGCAGGCAATTTGGAACGCGATGGGGAATAGCGACTTATGATGAGTTCTGCGACATCTCACACCCTAGTAAGGGCGTGGAACATTGACCACGCCCAGCATTTTCTGTAAGTCTTTTGGGGCGTGGTCACGCCCTAAAGGCGTTGCATGTGATGCACAGACACCACCTCGCCGAGAGGTGTTCTCAACGACTCGCCTACAGGAAAATCGATATATGCAAAATGGCATCTCTATATGATTATATAGTACCTGATGATGACAGATGAATTATGCGAAAACTCTCATGCACGCAATTCTTAAGTGCGTGCTTGTGACGACCTTTTTTCCATGCTCGTGCGTTTATGAATGATGACACCTCAAGTCAAGCGCTTGCTTGTTGTGCGTGCACCTTGCACAGGGTTCGGAATGGCACAGTATTTTGCTAAAACTCACCCAATAACATCACCCTCAACCACCCACCCTCCTTAGTCCAAATCCACTATCTCCACCCTCTCTCTTGGGATCTCCTGCACCAGGCTCGCCCCACATGCTGCGACTGACTGTTCTGAGTTGACTTCCTAGTCCAGGTCACTATTGGGGCACCACATCACCGTGATTGGTGCCTTTTGAGTCAATCTCCTAGTCCGGATCCCCTATTCAGGCGCCCCATCAGCAGTGACTGGTGTAAGGGAACCTCCAACCACCCTCCCTAATCCAAATCCACAATCTCCACCCTCTCCCCTGGGATCTCCTGCACCAGGCTCGCCCCATACGCTGTGGCTGGTGTCTGCATAGGCCACAGGGAAGGAGAGCATGGAAGACAATCAGTTCACAATGACAATCAGGAAACAATGAAATCTTAATGCACTTGAAGTCACATGGTAGTACAGCCATCGTTGTTACCTGGTAACCGGGCTTGAACTCCCCTTGTAACACCCTCCGTGCCACTTCCACACTGCAACTCGCTGTAAAATGATACCCTGGAATGTGCAAAGGAAAAGAGGAGAAAGGAGGCGGGAAGGAAGAGGCAGACGGAAAAAGAGGAGGATGCTTCAAAGGTGCCTCAAAGTTCCTTCTCAGTGCTGTGGAAGGAAAACTTGAATGGTGCCATCATGCGTCGCCCATATTCTTTGACCGATTTTCTTTTGTGTCAATTCAAGTAGTGCTTGCTTGCACGTGGTCTGCATAAAGGCAGGAGGGTTCTCTAAGAAGCACCAAAGCCACGATTTCGACTCACCTTCACCAACAATCACAGTTTTGAGAAGTGCCGCAAAATCACAAATGTTTCGACTCACCTTCACCAACAATCACACTTATGAGACGTGGCGCAAAATCACAAATGTTTTAACGCACCTTCGCCTACAATCACAGATGCCCTGTGCCTCTTGTTGCTGGCACTATCAACCACCTCCCCCGCACATGCCATGCCCGTGTTAACCCTGTGACCCTGCAGTAGGAGGGGGAGGGACGATAAGGCGAGTTAACATTCCATGGAGCATCATGGCATGGCATGGCATGGCATGGCATGGCATGGCATGGCATGGCACAGCAAGGCACGGCATGTGCCTCTTGTTGCTAGCTGTGTCGACTACCTCCCCCACACATGCCATGCCCGTAATAACCCTGTGACCCTGCAGCAGGGGGGTTGTATGAAGGAGAAGGAGTGAAGACAAGGCAAGTTCACATGGCATGGCATGGCATGGCATGGGCCTCTTGTTGATGGAAGAACAGAACCTCACAGAGGATACTGCTGAAGCGCCACCATAGGATGCCGAAGCATTAGTGGATGCTGGAGCATCAGAGAATGCGGAAGCACTGACTAGTGAGATGCTTATCGGAGTGGTATCTGGGGTGGGCAGCATTGAATGGCAGACTCCAAGAGGCGGTTAAAGGACCAGGCACAGCGGGAAGCGCAGCTCACCAGAAGGTTGTTGCTGAAGCACCAACAGAGGACATGAATCACTAATGCATGCATGCTCACCGGGGTGGTATCTGGGGTGGGCAGCATTCGAATGGCAGACTCCAGGAGACGAGTGAAGGGCCAGTGGCATGGGGAAGAGAAGTGCACTGGTGCTGACGCACACACTGAAGCAACAGCCAGCATGCGTGCTTACCGGGGTGGTATCTGGGGTGGGCAGCATTCGGATGGCAGACTCCAGGAGACGAGTGAAGGGCCAGTGGCATGGGGAAGAGAAGTGCACTGGTGCTGACGCACACACTGAAGCAACAGCCAGCATGCGTGCTTACCGGGGTGGTATCTGGGGTGGGCAGCATTCGAATGGCAGACTCCAGGAGACGAGTGAAGGGCCAGTGGCATGGGGAAGAGAAGTGCACTGGTGCTGACGCACACACTGAAGCAACAGCCAGCATGCGTGCTTACCGGGGTGGTATCTGGGGTGGGCAGCATTCGGATGGCAGACTCCAGGAGACGAGTGAAGGGCCAGTGGCATGGGGAAGAGAAGTGCACTGGTGCTGACGCACACACTGAAGCAACAGCCAGCATGCGTGCTTACCGGGGTGGTATCTGGGGTGGGCAGCATTCGAATGGCAGACTCCAGGAGACGAGTGAAGGGCCAGTGGCATGGGGAAGAGAAGTGCACTGGTGCTGACGCACACACTGAAGCAACAGCCAGCATGCGTGCTTACCGGGGTGGTATCTGGGGTGGGCAGCATTCGGATGGCAGACTCCAGGAGACGAGTGAAGGGCCAGTGGCATGGGGAAGAGAAGTGCACTGGTGCTGACGCACACACTGAAGCAACAGCCAGCATGCGTGCTTACCGGGGTGGTATCTGGGGTGGGCAGCATTCGGATGGCAGACTCCAAGAGGCGGTTAAAGGGCCAGACCCGGGCGGCGAACTGAATTATGCTGATGAACAGTGACGTCACCCAGGAGGATTTGCCTGGTTGGTGCGGAAGCGAGGGAGAGAGGGGGAATGCGAGAGAGGAGAGAGAAGTGAAAGGAGAGAAATGTGAGGAACGAGGAAGAGAGACGTGAGAAGAGGAAGGAAAGCTTTACAGGGAAGAGCGGCTGACCTGGGTGGCACATACACGGTGATGTTGGGAATACGGGTGAAGAGGGAAGTGGTGAGGTGACAGAGAGCAGAAGGACGGATGGATCAGCCGATAAGTAGCGAATAGAGAAGAATGTGGAGAGCAATGAAAAGAGCAGAAGAAGGAAAGAACAAGAGCAGTACAAAGGAGAGGGTAGCTGACCTGGCACATAGACAGTGATGTTGGGGATGGAGGTGGAAAGAGAAGTGCTGAAGAGCTCAGCTGCCGGGAAGGACATGGTGGAGAGAGGCGGGAGCTCCTTGCGAATAAGGAAGGAGCGACCACTGAATAGTGGGAGGGAAGGAAGGGGGGTGGGAGGAGATGGGACAGGAGATAAGCTGCTGGGAAGGACATGGTGGAGAGAGGCGGGAGCTCCTTGCGAATGAGGAAGGAGCGACCACTGTGGGGGGGGGGAGAGAGGGTGAGGGGGGAGAGAGATGGTGGAGAGAGGTGGAAGCTCCTTGCGAATAAGGAAAGAACGACCGCTGCGAGATGGGGAGGTGATTCAGGACGTGGAAGTTCGATGGCACTCAGGATTTCCTGAGACGTCTCAAAAGTCACTCACAACCTTGCTTGCGACAGCACTCACCATTTTGCAACGGACTCCTTCACAATCGCGCCATTCCGGCGCACGAGCCCTCCCAGCGTAAGAATGTGCTTCGCGCCCGATATCAGCGTGCCGTGGGAGGGC